ACTTGATACCTGTGGTTATAATTCCATTTGGGAATGAGTTTTCTTTGCTATGTTAATGAGACAGGATTAGGGTAGGGTATGTCTTGAGGGAATCTCTTTTGAGGTATAAAAGGAGCAGATTAAGCAGGGAAGCAAAGAAGCTGAGGTGGAGGAATAGAGATGCCAAGCCACATGATTGCCCAGGGGCAGAAACTTGGAAGAGACAAGGGCCTTCCTCCAGAGTCCACAGAGAGAGAAAGCCCTCCCCTAGAGCCAGCACCCTCAATTCAGCCTTCTAGCCTCCTAAACGTCGAGAAAATAAATTTGTTTGTTAAAGCCACCCACTTGTGGTATTGTAGTATTTCTGTTATAGTAGCGCTAGACAACTAAGACAATTCCCTATTTTCTGGATTCCCCTATGTTTTTTTTCCCTATAAAAAGCACAAAACCGAACCCGTCGCTATCTAGTGGATTCTGACTCAGTGATGCTATAGGACAGAGTAGAACTGCCTCATAGGGTTTCCAAGGAGCAGCTGGTGGATTAGAACTGCTGAACTTTTGGATACCAGCCTTAGCTCTTAACCACTGTGCCACGAGGGCTTTTCCATAGAGGTTATCAATTAAAAAATGTATTGCATATATCTAAATTAATTGTCAAGTTACTACACTGCAGTTTATTCCACTGTGAAATTCATGCAGTTTGGAAATTAATAGAGGAAGTGGTTTAGAATCATACAAAAAGAACAGATGGTCAAGAACTTTTTTGAAATAGTTAATATTTCAATACAAGTACAGAATATCAAGGCAAATGGTGCTATAAATATTTAGCTACCAAATCTTTTTGAATATGATGCTTGCTACTGTGAAATATAATCTCTTGAAAATGAAAATGTGGAGAAAAATATTCCATTCTGAGATGGGCTATTGTTTGGCTACAACAATATAAGTTTTTATTGAATCATGGACTCTCTAATCGTACCTGCAGTGCATGATTTTAGGAGGATAGTGGAGGCAGAGAAGGCAGTGGGCAGAAAAACAAGGATATGAAGAGGATTTTAATAAGTTCCCTAGGCTGCGTAAAATTGCTTGCACTCCACTGCTAACCTAAAGGTTGGTGGTTCGAACCCACCCAGCAGTACTGCAAAAGATAGGTCTGGCAAACTGCTTCCCTTGAGATTACAACCAAGAAAATCCTATGGAGCAGTTCTACTCTGTAACGTTTGGGGCCACCGTGAATCAGAATTGACTAGACAGGCACTAACAACAACAACAGAGTATTTTAGGTGTTGAAGTGGTAGGCATGCCATCATATGGCATGGTGAAACAGAAAAGGGCTGCGATGGCTGCATCTGGAGGCACAGGAGCTGGGAGTGTGTTAAGGTCAGACGGGAGAGTAGCTGAAGGGTTGATATAATCTCCACAGGCAGATTCTTATTCAGCCCCTCTGCTGTAAAACTATGTTTATACAGTCTTACATTCTGATACCCACCTTGACAAGTCACTCAAATTCTCTAAGGTTCAGTTAGCCCCCCAAAATGTGAGAAAGTATCACTTTATGTTTGATTAATTGTAAATTAAAAAAAAGAAGTTTTCAAGAAAGAGCAATGCTTTCTTTCTTTACTGAAGATAAAATTTGTGGCTCCATTTTTCTCTAAGACTGAGCCAACCTTTTGGACAGTATCATATTAGCTATGTGCAATGGTAAATTTTTTTGATGACCATTATATAAACTAAAATTTATCAAATTTTAGTAGTCTTATTATGCTTACCAGTTTACCAGTTGCAATTGTGTTGAAATTGATTCATGATGACCCAATGCATATCAGAGAACTTTGCTCCGTAGGGTTTTCAATGAGCAATTTTTTGGAACTAGATCTCCATGCCTTTCTTCCTGGAGTCTCTGTGTAGACTTGGAACCTCCAACCTTTCAGTTAGCAGCCAAACTCATTCACCACCCAGGGACTGTTTTCTGATTACTAGTGATATAATAATTGGCCATTGAGTTTTCTTTTTTTATGAACTATTTGTATCTGTTGACCCTCTTTGGTAATTTCTTATTAGATTTTTGTCTGTTTGTTATTGATTTTTAGCTTTTATATATCCGGTATATCAATCCTTACTTGTTTGTACCCATATGTATTTCACAAAAAATTTTTTAAAAGATTAATTCTGATCCACATTAAAGACATCAAAATAAATTAGAAGTGAGTTTAAGTAGTACTTTTTAAGTTAAAAAAAACTTGTATCTAGATGAAATTCACAAATATCTAAAATGTCATTATTTCCATTTTGTGAATCTAGTTGGTTCTCAGTAGATTTAATGTTAGTCTGGGGAGTATTGTCCGGTTTCAACAATAGTTAGGGTCCAGGGATGCTAAATATCCTACAATGGGTGGTGGAGTGCTGTTTTTGTCGTTGTTGTTATTAGGTGCCGTTGAGTCAGTTCTGACTCATAGCAACCCTATAGGACAGAGTAGAACTGCCCCATAGGGCTTCCAAGGAGCACCTGGTGGATTTGAACTGCTGACCTTTTGGTTAGCCGTCGAGATCTTAACCATTACACCATCAGGGTTCCAGCAGAGTGCTGGATAACCAAATATATTGTGACACCCAACATGGCAGTAGCGTGCATTATTTTGCAGCATAGGATTGGTGACAGATAGCCATTAAGATACTAAATAAAGATAATCAGATTAGTAATTTGTGGCAGGCCCCATTGTTTAGCTGACTTAACTCCCCATCTGCCCTGTTAAAAAGAAGACAGAATCAGCTGAAATAGACGATTGCCCTTTATGCCCTTTAAACTATTTTCAAATTCTGAATGTGGATATGAAGTGACAAAATGAACTGCATGAGAATAAAGGCCAAGATGCTAAAAATGAAATAACAGAGAGAAAAACAATTTGGATGTCTGATGGTATTGTTTATCTGATGCTCTAGCTTTAGATTGCCTAAAACCAAAGATTTTTCATGGTAAGAAAAAGAAAAAAAACAAACTTCTTGTTTTAAGACCCACCAGCCATGTTTCCTCTTATCTCCAGTCCAAAACTACTTTTTAATGGAGTTACAATACATGCTAATTTCATGAGAAAAATCTATATAAAAATTACTGACCACTTTCTGGAAATAACATAATAATGGTTTTTTTCATGAGTGAATTTGTAATGTTACCTGTTGGATTTATCGTAAATATTTTGAGAAAGGTACATGCTATGCACAGTCATGTTCTTTTTAGTTACTGAACTTCATTTTATCATAAGTGGAAATAGAAATCTAGCTGAAAATGTCACAGTATTTCTGAAATATAAATGTTTTATTAAAAAAACCCACTAATCTGTAAGATATGATAAAGAGCATAAGAAATAATAAATATTTGCTATCATAAATTCAAATGAACAATAACATTTGAAATGAATATAGCATTTGTGTTATTTCCCATACAATTCTTTAGAAAGGACAAGGCAAAACATTTTCCAGTTTTAGGTAATTGTAGACATAAAATATGTTCATCACGGGATTTTATTGGGGTTCCCTACAAAATTTTACCATCTAGTTCCATTTTTTACCATAAAGTCTACTGGTCGCAAATGTGGGCTGCAAGCTATGTGGAAGGCCTGTTATCCCAGTTTCAATAAATTCATCATTGCATTCAGGCCTACTTCCCTTAGAAAGTCTTTCCCCATTTTAAAGAATTTCCATATGGGCAACTGCCAATGGCCAAGAAACCTGGCTTGAGTGGTATGAAGCTATCAAGTTCACTGACATCAATGAGCCTTTCAGAGTTGTTTTGGTGTAGAGGCATCAAGTCTCCGTAGCTGAGTATCCAAAAGAGACACATAGCTACTCTTCACGGCCAATGTAAATCCTGGGTGAAAGAGAGGTCTCTGAAGGGAATATTAATCTTAAATTTAACAGATTAGATTGATGTCTAAAAATAATTATTGAATTATGATATTCAAAATCAAATTTCCTCTAGAATTACCCCTCAAAAGTGAGATATTCTAATTTAGGACCATCAATATTATAATTTGGAATATTGTGTATTTCTGAGAAAATATTTAAACTTCGTGTACATACTGTTGAGGACTGAGTATGTAAACACTATCTGTTAAAACACAGCATTAATAGCGTTAACAAATATTAAATGTTCATTCAACATAAACATTAAATTGACCCTGTATTGAAAAAAATGGCTATATACATTAGTAAATAAACCTTACAAAATTTAAGTTCAAATTTTGTTTTATTTTTAACATATTCTACAGTGGACACCAATGCTCAATGGTACTTACGACAAAGTTGTTAGGAGAAATAATTTTTCATGGCCCCCTAGCATTATTGTTAGCTGAAGGCAGAGGCACAGTCCAATAGGCAATGTTCTACACCTCTCTGCAACCATCTGGCATGGATTACTCCCTACATGCATCAAAAGTCCCAGTGAGGCTCTTGGTTGTCCAAAGTCCCTTACCAGCTAGCGCTAAACAAACTAGAAGAAAACTATTCCCTCTTCCTCAAGTTCAATATGACCATTTTTGTTAAATATCCAGGGTAAAGCAATCTGATTATGTGATTAAAGTAATTTATTCTCAGGCATATTTATTAATAATCCTACTTACAATAAGGGTAAGTGATAAGAGGGCTTAGTTTAGGGCTATGGACAGTACGAGAAATGCGAGGTAAAAATATCCTGTTAAACTTGACAGAAGAAATAGGGAAAATGGTATCTCATTTCTGAAACATTGCCAAGTCTCATTTCACATCTAAAAATCACAAGATGAAGCACATAGTATTATTTCCATGATTTAGGCTTAGGTTCAAAAAAAAAAAAAAATTGCAAGCATTTCACAACATATAATGATGAATTTCAGCAATGCAAAATTGGCATTTGAATTCCTATGACTACTATTTATCATTGCTGTTATTTAATATGCATTCACTCTTGATGTGTCTACGAAATCAATGCAAATCTTCATGCAATTTGAAAACACCAGTTACAAAATGGTAATAAATGGGGTACTTACACTTCTATATTTTACAATATATTCTAAAATAGGGGCCCCTCCATCATCCTGTTTGGTGATGCTGAGTTTAAAGCTCTTCCCGCTGCTTGGCTGTCCATGGATTGATGGAGGACTTGGTTCACCTAATATGCAATACAACAATCTTCAGATTCACACACATATCAGATGACTACAGAAACTGCATTTTAATAAAAAGAATGGTATAACGCCATCAAAAGGCATGAAGTTCCGTCTGGAGTTACCATTTGCTATTTGACATTTGATGTGATGTGATTGTGGATCCTCATTTTTTCCATCCAAGAAACAGCCACATTCATAAAACTAGAAGTATAGTGCCAAAAGTGTGAAACCTCAGGCCTAATATTTTATTTATATTAATGTGCAAATGCTGTGCAATCTGTACTGCACTATACAAGTGAAAAACTTCATTTCTTTTACTATTAATAGTGTGTAATACTGTTTATTTTATTAATAGATTACAACTATGAATGCAAAAACATTAACATATTAAACTGTATGGGTTGTATGCCAACCAAGAAAAATAACTCCTTAACAGTTAGTTATCTGCTCCCACAAACATTTTTTTGACAAGATGTATATCTGAACAATAAAAAAAATGTAGAATCCAATTATATCGACCTGTGCTTCAATTTTTGTTTTAATTCAAAAATAAGGGAATACTTGCGTTTGATGCTTTTATTCACATGGAGGTAATTTTACAACAAAGATGCTTACAATATTTGAATAGAATAGGGATGTACCTAACTGCAAGAATTTTAAATGTGAAGGGTGCCATCAATGTTTGGTAACTTGGAATCACAGCTCCCTGCTGTGTGCCATGGACATGATGCCATTGGACACAACCTTCTGATTTACTTTGTTATCATCATTTCAGAAGATGGATTGGGAACAATCTAATCTGCAAGTGGGCTTATGAGTCAAGATTTACTTGATGAAAAAATAATGAGGGGCTGAAAAAGACACTAGCACTGGGGATGGAGAAAAGAGAACACATTTGACGGATTTTATGAGAACAAAGATAACTGGTCACAAATTAGGGTAAAATAATTTCTTGTGGCCAGTTTGGCTGACTGCCCATGTATATATAATAGGCAGGAATATGCAAAGATTTTCTCCATTTATTATAATTTATTCAACATAAAAGAAACATTGAATCTTTTAAAATTTGTCTTAGCTTCTTCAAGTAAACCCAATTGACTGAACAATACCCCACAGGAGGATGGTTATGAGAACAATAAACTGTAACTATTATTTTCCTGCAGTCACCGTTGTAATGGATTAATTTAGTAGCTCCGTTTTTCTCACATTAGAGCCTATATAATTTGTGTGATAAAGGCAACAGTCATGACCCATCAAAATAATAGTTTATTAGGCATATTACATAGACATTTTTCCACTGTTCCACAGCATAAAATCTATGCACTACAAACCAATTAATCAGACTATGAATAAGTAGGACACCTTTGTGCCTAGGATAATTTCCTGAGAGAGCTATTTTTATTGCATGAATTTCAGTGCATCTTTTCTTTTTCCATTGCTCAAGAGTCAAATTCTTTTCCTTAATCTGAGATGCCGCCATCTTCAGAGACCTCTTAAATAAAGACATAATTCACTTCCCCAAGTGTTGACACTTCTCCCTGCATTTTAAAATTCCTTTTAAATTTGCAGGTGAAGAGAATGTCTACAGACAGCACAACAGAGAAGATTACTTACGAACTGGTAGTGTTTGGAAGATTTCTATTTTACTGTAGTCTCCTTGCCCTTTTCCATTTACAGCTGCAACCCTGATTTCATATGTTGTATTTGGTTCCAGGTTGTTCAACACAACCATTGCTAGAAGAAGAAGAAGAAAAAAAAAAAATCTATCCCATTGCCATCAAGTGGATTCCAACCCATAGCGACTCATCTGTTTAATGTATTTTAATAAGAAAAAAAATCAAGGTATTATAATGTTGAGTGAGTAATTTCACTGTAAAGCTTTCCATGAAATACCTGAAAAAAATAGGAAATAAATATAAGAAGAGAATGATTTCTGAACAGTCCTCTCTTCACCTATATTCTAGCTTTCCAATCCTAGGTGTCAACATTCAAAGAAGAAAAAAGTTATAGCTTCTTTTGTGATACTTATAAAGCAGAAAGTAAAATCTCTATTTTCATCTTTTTAATATCATAAAATAAAAATGATGTAAATACTTTCCAGAGTGTTTCTGGTATACTCTAAATTAATTTTTTTAAATTAAATGACAATATGAAATTCAATATATATATCACTGGACTCCAGTAAGGTATGTCAAAGTGTCCCAAGTTGAGTCTGAAGCAAAGGTAGATCATTTATTCTGTAATCTCAAGTCAAATCATCACATTATTTTTAATGCTATCTTAAAGGCTGCCATCTCTTGTTTTCTCTCTGAATTTCTTCTCAACTATATACTGTACCTGAACTGGATTCAACATGACACAAAGTACGAGAAAAACTCTGAAAAATACAGCAATGTGGAGGTTATTAGAAACATCTCCTGGGTCATGAAATTTGCCACAGAATTTTGGATACAATTGTATATTTCACATCTTCACAAATTCCTCCGTTAGAGCTAAAAAAAATAATATAGTTGATTCCATCCTTACTTCTTTTGCTACCCTCACACACACACACACACAAACACACACACACATAACTGTACTAGTGGAAACAGTAATACCTTTTGAATGGTCAAAGGGAAGTTATGTATGATTTTCATTATAAATCCAAGTCAAATGGTCCATTCATAATAGAAGCAGATATAATCAAACATAAAAGATTAAATTGTAGATAACTAGGATAATATTTGTATTTGGTTTTATGTGAACCATGACTAAAGATGGTCTACATTCAATATAATTTGAATATAATTGATTATTTCTGATAAATAATATTATAACAGAGGTTCACTTAGATAACATTTTTAATTCTACATCATATGAATATACTCAATGAATTCATTTTGATACTTCTATTTATTCCATTCTTTTCCCCATATTTATCATCATATTCTTTATTTAGCTTTTTTACTGTAATCTTTAAATCTTCATTGAATTACTATTAAGCTTTATAAAAGAAAACAAAGTTTCAAATACACCACTGAACTGTTTTCTTTGCCTAAAATGCAGAATTTTGAAAATGGATAAAACAGTTAATAGCACATAAAGGTTTATGACAGAAATACATAGCCCAAATATCATCTGGACCTTACTTAACCCAGTACCAAAACCCAAAAACCGCTTGCCCTCAAGTCGATTCCGACTCATAGTGACCCTATGGGACAGGTTAGAACTGCCCTGTAGAGTTTCCAAGGAGCACCTGGTGGATTCGAACTGCTGACCTTTTGGTTAGGAGCTGGATCTCTTAACCACTACACCACCAGGGTTTCCTAACCCAGTACAGCTGTCCTAAAAGCAGCAGAAAGGATATATTGCCAACTGGCAACATTTTTATTTAGATTTCACAGTTTAACTGTCTACTTTGTAGGAAAACTCAGCTTTCTTTTAAGCCTGTATTATCTTGTCAAAACCTCAGCTTATTAACACCTGGTGTCAGAGCTAAGGGAAGCCAATTGGGAAAAGAGTGATTGGCATGGAAAGCCCATTGATTAGAAGCTGCAAGGATAAATGGAAAACCAAGGCTTGAATTAAATGATTTCTGACAACCTAACAACCTGTGAGCTTTTTTAGGAAGCCCAAACCCAGTTGCTGACCTAGAGCAAATAAACATGAAATGTCAGCCTCAGAAAAAGAATACAGTTGCAATGGAGGGAATGTGGCTGCATAGATAATGCTGGTCAGGTACATTGTCGAAGGGAGAAGAAAATCACAGGGAGTTTAGTAGCTAAGGAAATGCTCGCGGCGAAGTGGTTAAGTGCTACGGCCGCTAACCAAAGGTCGGCAGTTTGAATTCACCATGAGCTTCTTGAAAACTCTATGAGACAGTTCTACTCTGCCCTATAGGGTTGCTATGAGTTGGAATCGACTTGATGGCAATGGGTTTGGTTTTTTTTTTTAGTAGCTAAAATGCTGAGAAGTTGGAATTTTACTGTTCTTAAGAAAGAAACTTTTGCTGTTAGCATAACAAGAAATTTAAGAGTTAAAATTCACCACAATTTGCCAGTTTAATTAGTTAATACATATCCCGAGACTCAAAACAAAGTAAAATAGGCTTATTATTCTGCCGAGATTAAAACTTTGTCAAAGTGTGTTTACTCTTCAGGGTTAGGGTTAGCAACTGAATTGTGTCCTCCAACAAGATACGTTGAGGTCGGAACTCATGTACCTGTGAATGTGACCTGTTTGGAAACAGGGTCCTTGAAGGCATTATCAATTACATTAACATGAAGTTATACTGGGGTAGAGCGGATCCTAATCACTATGACCAGTGGCATCACTAGGGGTGGTGTTACCCAGTGCAGGAACTCATGGACGGTGTCACTTCCTCTCATACCAAAGCATACAGAATCCTTATAATGTTTTTTGTACTAATGTTACTAGTAAATCATAATTCTCCCATATATCACCCCTTTTATTTCTTTGATTGCTACCTCATTCTCAAAAAAAAAATATTGATATAAGTTCACAAATACTAATTACCACAATATTGTAGCTAAAACCCCAGAAAATTTGAAAAGATCAGCAACTATAAAAACATCGGAGCAACAAAAACTGCTCCTGCTTGTAGCGAATGCAGATGAAACCCCGTGATTTGAAGCGTCATTGTAATTGGGTAATAATGACAGCTCTGACTGGAGGGCATAAGAAGGTTCAAAATGTAAATTAGCATAGAGTCTTAGCTTTGTAGGTATATTGATACATGTAAACTGGACTTACAAAAAATGTTTTTGTTGTAGTAACTACAGAGATATTTTTATTAAAAAATAATAAATTTCTGCTGAAACACTGCACAAAAATTTTAGAGACAGTCATTTTGGTGTCACTCCCTCTGATAGTGTCACCCGGTGAGGTCCACACTCCCCAATCCCCCCTAGTGATACCACTGAATATGACTGGTGTCCTTATAAAAGAGGAGAAGATAAACAGCGAAAGGGAGAAAAAGGAAGGATACCATTTGATGCTTCAGGAACTCCTGGCCTCCTCAAAGCTAGAAGAGACCCATGGAACAGATACTCCCTCAAAGCCTCGTAAAGAATCAACATGGCTGGCACGCTGCTCTCAGAATCCTAATCTCCAAAACTGTGAAACACTAAAATTCTGTTCCTATAAGCTGCCCAGTTTGTGGTATTTTGTTATGGCAGCACTAAGAGGCCAATACAGATTATAACCAAAAGGCTAGGACAATAATATGATGTCGTGGAACATTTTTGTGTAAAAGAAGATTACCCTCTTCTATAACATCATGTAGCACGAGCTAATTTAACGTGTCGAGATATGGGAAACATGCAGGCTCTATTTGGGCTCTGTGAAAAGGTGCATATTTTAGACTCACGAAAGACTTGCATGGCCCTGGGCCTGTTTCCACCATTGGCTGGGATCCAGCAAAGTTTTAAGGCTAATTAGGCCTCTCAGATTATAAATAATGGCGTTGAGGTTAAAAACCATAGAAACAAAAGTATAAAAATAAATTAAGAGAAAGGTATAGATAAAAAATTGTAATCTAAAATGAAATCATCATCATTATGCATCCATTATCTATGCAAGAGATGAAAATGTGCAGCCTGTGAAATAATGCAAAATAATGCATAGTCCAAAGATCATTTAGCTATGGTTCTGTGGGAGCAATACTCTATATTTACTGGCAAAAACGGACTTCATAATATTTACTTAGAAATGGTAGTTACGATTTACATGGATAATCCACATGGCAAGTGTGCTACATCATAATAAATAAGAGACTACTATAGAAGTTTATGCTGTTGCAGACTACTTTTGTTTGTGATAGAACTCTCCATAATTCTGTGATGTGAGGAAGTGGCTGCAAGCATCATGTGAAGGGCATGAAGTATGCTGCAACTCGGGTGTGAAGTGAAGTCATTTGGTAATGTTTATAGCCCATTATGTGGCTTGATAAAATTCAAAAAAGAAACATATTTGAAGCACACATTTTAATTTAGAGATACTTGTAAATCAAAATCATAAGTCAGAGGTGAGATCACATTTGAGATACAGTCTCATTATTTTTGGTTAAAAAAGGATAGCTATAGAACTACCAAAGTATCAGAGCATATCTCTAAAGCAAAGAGCAAAACTGAGGTGATTATTTAGATTTAATAATATTCATAACAACAAGAATGCAAACCCACATTTTACCTGAATTATCCGAGTGTTTCATCCAAAAGCTCTTTCTAGTCTGGATTAGCTGCAATCCTTTCCCTCTAACATTTCAGTGGTACTGTGAGAAGCTCTCAGTGTCCCTCTATGTGTATCAAGAGGAAATCTATTTCTTTAGTTACACTGTGGTCAATTCAGAATGGATTTTCCTCATTTTTCCCCATTTTTCTGTTCTGTGTCAACACTCTCCTGTGTGCTGAACTTCAACTCAGAGTAGTTTGGGGGCAGAAGAGCAAGGAGGGTAAAACTGTGGCTGAAAGAATACTACAATGATGAGCTTAGAGTTCATGTGGATAAAGGGTGGACATTTAAAATTATAGGGGAGAGGAGTGAAAATAAACCTATTGATGCAAGTTTCACAAAGTTTATATAAAAGAAGTCAGTCTGTTTTTGAGTTCTGAGTATAAAGGTTTTGTACAATAACCCTTATTATGAGGCTTATTAGCACTGTGTGAACATAAAGATTATCAAGGAGAATAGAAAGAACGTCATAAAATGGGACAGAATTAAAGAGAGGGAAA